TCCCGAACATCAAGACCAAGGATATTAATCGCCTTTCTGGAAACCCACGAAGATTTACGAATACACACGAAAAGTAAAAAAAAAAATATATATATATTTAAAAACATGAATAATCTTTAGAGTAAATTTGGCAGACATTTCTAGAAATTTCTAGAAAGATCTCACGGTAACTGAATAATGACTGACATAAAACAGAAAATGGTAACGATGATGAAATCAATAGTAATGGTAAAATTAATGGTAATGGTGAAATTAATAATGTTAACATTACTGGTAACTGTGAAATTCATGGTAATGGCGAAATTAATTGTTTTCATTCAATTAAATTTACTGCCATTTGAAATTTATAAAAATATTTTCCATAAAAAAATTCTTCATGAAAATAGATTTCTCAAGTCCAGTAGATGTTATAGCTCTTACCAGTATTAATGGGAGTTTCCTTCCTAGCCATTTGCTCTTGATGCTGTGTAAGCTTATTGATTGATTCGTTTTCTATGGCTTATAAACATTTTGAAGGTTATTTAAAGCTATAAAATATTTTTAGATTGTAAGATTTTTTAGTATAGTGATACAAGTTTTACTAATTAACCCATAGCTGGGGAGTAATGAACTGAATTCATGTATAATCAGAATCTGATAAACAAATCAAACCAGAAATTATGATGTGGATATAAAATAGGCCATCAATTCTATATCACAATCAACATATAAATTGATCCCTCACTATATGGTTACTGTAGTTACTATACATTTATATCCCAGAGAATGTCCGTATTTAATTGATGGATTCATTCATTTTTTACGGCTTGTCAATACTTTTCGGGTTATTTGCATCCAAAAATATTATAATTTTTTTTTGTTTGGTTTGAAATAATAATGATTATCTGAACAGGCTATTTAAGACCATTAACAATTCTCAATTTTGTTTTGAGATAATCCAATAGATACTGACCCAGATTTAGTGTTACAGGTCTTACTAATTAATCCAGGCTATTTAAGACCATTATTCTCAATTTGTTTTGAGATAATAATTATTTAGTGTTACAGGTCTTACTAATTAATCCATAGCTGAGGAGAGAAGAGATCGATTCATACAAAGCGTATTTGCGTCTAAATGATTACCTAACGGTAATTGGAAATCGGCTCTCCGAATAACAATTCCGGGTTATTATCCCTTACACCACCCGCACATCCAATCTTACAGCACCTGATATTCCCAAGCGGTCACCCATCTAAGTACTGACCTAGCTCGACACTGCTTAACTTCGATGACCATACAGGAACTGGGGTTTCAACGTGATGTAATAGAAAGCCTGTCGTGTTAACAGCTTTGTTATACCGTTACGTTTTTGTTTTTGTTGTTTTTGAAAATATTCGTGTGCTGTGATTTTTGCTATTTTGTGACAACTCTTTGTTTTTGATTCAGTAGCGCCACAGTCTATAGAGCCAAATGAAGAATTATTTTTTTCTAAAAAAAAAATCCATTGTATATAGCTGATAATTTAGACATGTCTAGCGTGTTGGATAAAGCGTTCGACATCCATAGGAGACCCCAGATCTGACGATGCTATTTAAGAACAGGATTCTAGTTCTTAAATTAATGTTGTTTTTGCGGCATCGTGTGGGGTTGTAGAAAACTATACCTACCACAGCATCTCCTCTGTTCAGTCTCCTCGACTATACTAAAGGCTGTTGTAACTGATCCATACTCCGAAGTATCTGAAGTGTTTAGAATTTATTATTTCACTTTCTGAATTTTTATAATAGATTCAAAGTACATGCCACTGTAAGAAAATTAAATATATTCAACAAATAAAATAAATACATTTTCCCATGATGTTAGCAATAAAGGAACCGGAAAAGATTTTGGTCATCTGCGCAATTTTAGGACTCCACTTATCAAACAGAACCGCGACTTTTCTTGCCACTTTCAAACGAATAGCGTTCGGGCATGTCTTGGCAGAAACTTCACCGATGAAGCAACTACAACTTTTAATTTGGTCGTTCTAACTCAGCGCAAGGCTGATTTGAACCCGACCATTATAACAATGCTTATCATTACTTACCAAAACTTGCTTCTGAACCAGAAAAAAGAAAACCCAAGTTTTTATTGCTTATTCTTTAACTGTTTACATGTGAACACGTACCCCACATACAATAGATGTCAACGCGCAACCATTAAATTCCATAGTGTTTTATAAAAAAAAAGTCACATGAGGAAAATGTATTTTTTTATTCTCCAGTTCAGATTTATTTTTTCAGCTTATAAAGACAATAGATGGAAATAATTTTTCATCTTGACTTAACATATTTTTAAAAAAAAAGAACATTGTTTATTTTTATCAAAGCTCCACCCTTATTAACTATTCTTGTCCTTATTTACCCTAACTTACTACTGAATCAGAAAAAGAAAACGGACACACCCAAGAGATATTGTAAACTTGAGATGGACCATTATAACCATGCTGATCCTCCAATGATGAAGTAAGTTTAAGCATTCTTTGATCGCTCCAACTCAGTACAAAGTTGATTTGAGTTCGACCATTAATTCGATGCCTATATTTACTTACCCTAACTTCTGTGACAAAATGGAAAATGGACATACCTAATAGATATTGTGAACTTGAGATAAATCATTATATCAATGCTGATTCCCCTGATGAAGTAATTATAAGCCTTCTTTGCTCGTTCCAACACTGCGCAAAGCTGACATGAAGTTGACCATCATTAACTATTTTTATTCTTACTTATCTTAACTTACTCCTGAACTAGAAAAAGAAAAAGGACACACCCAATAGATATTGTGAACGTGAGATAGATCGGCCATTAATACGATGCCTATACTAACCAAAACTTCTAGGAAAAAAAAAAAAACAGAAATACCCAAGAGTCATTGAGTACTTTGTTTCCTTACAGTTTCTACAAAACAAAAAAGAAACGGTCCGGGGTAGTGTGCTTCTTCTTCAATTATAAGCCTTCTTTGCTCGTTCCAACACTGCGCAAGGCTGACTTGAGATTGACCATCATTAATCACTTTTATTCTTACTTACCTTAACTCACTTCTGAAACAGGAAAAGAAAATGGACACACCCAATAAATATTGTGAACGTGAGGCGGATCATTATAACAATGCTGATTCTCTAATGATGAAGTAAGTATAAGACTTCTTTGCTCGTTCCAACACTGCGCAAAGCTGACTTGACATCGACCATCATTAAAAAAATTATTCTTACTTACCCTAACTTACTTCTGAACCAGAAATAGAAAAAGGACACACCCAATAGATATTGTGAACGTGAGATGGATCGGCCATTAATATGATTCCTATACTTAGTTACCCTAACTTCTTGGGGGTGGGGGACAGACATAGCCAAGAGAGTTTGAGAACTTTGTTTCCTTGCAGTTCCTATAAAACAAAGAAGAAACGGTCCGAGGGAGAAACCCAAGTTTTTGCTGCTGCTTCTTTAATTGTTTACATACGGACACCCACCCACGTACAATACACCAACATTTACAGGGTACGATATGTAAACTGTCGCCATTTTTTTATTTTTAATTTCACACAGTCTGTGACAATAGAGCACTATGACACAATTCATTCGGCCAGAAATTTGGAAACGGCATGGTGTACTACTTGACATTCGTGCCAGTTAGCTCTAATACGAAAATCTCAAAATGTCTGACTGTCAACCTGAAGACAGTGCAGAGGATTCGGAAAGAGTTGGATGAGTCTGATGGTTATTACGAAGATACGGCAGCACGAAAAATTCTCTCCGATCATTCTGATACGGAAAGGACACCCGAATTTGTTGGTGAGGGACTTAGACTAAAGGTCTACATCAAGTGCTTTGAGGAGATAATGGGTCAAGAGGATGGCTGCTGGAAGACCATATGCCTGGCAACAGGACTCAGCACCATGCAACCCCCTTGATTATTATGTGTGGGACGCAGTTGAGCGAGAGACTAACAAAACTCCTTATAACATCAAAGATGAATTGAAAGCAACGATTATGAGAGTATTCACCAACTTAAGATCGTCCAGAAGAGTTGCAGGAGATTCCGAAGTTGTCTGGAAGCCGTGGTTGAAGCCAATAGTGATTTTATTGAATAAATTTATATTTATCAAAATTACACAGAAATATCTTGAAATACTAAAGAGTATTTCAAGATATTTCTGTGTAATTTGATAAATATATCTGTTAAATGCCGGTGTTATTTTCATTTTTGTGTAATTTCGACGACAATTTTTCCCTCGCATCCTCTATATATACAAACAGGCGCTTATATATATATATATATATATATATATATATATATATATATATATATATATATATATATATATATATATATATATATAAAAGGTCTCCTCGAGAAATGTCTTACTCGGATCCGGTATAAAATCCGTAAGTGTCCAGTTTTCAACAACAGCTAGTAAATTTGTGGATGACTCTCTCTCACTCTCTCTCGCGCACTCTCACTTTCTCTCTCTGTCTATATCACTCGCTCTCTCTCTCTCTCTCTCTCTCTCTCTGTCTTGTTTTCTCTCTTTTTCTCTCACTCGATTTTTTTCCTCTCTCTCATTATAAGGATAAAGCTGATTTCACCCATAGAGGAAGATATAAACAGGCTGTCACTATCTCTCTCTTTATCTCTTTCTTTTTTCTCTCTTCTCTCTTTGTCTCTCTTTCTCTCTCTTTTTCTCTAACTTTCTCTCTTTTCTCTCTATTTTCTCTCTCTCTCTTATTTTAAGTCCGAAGCTGATTTCATCGCTGAAGGAAGATCTAAACAGGCCGCCATTATCTTTCTCTCTCTCTTTCCCCTCTCTCTTTCTTTCTCACTTTCTCTCTCTTTTTATCTCACTCTTTTCTCTCACTTTCTCGTTCTCTCTTCTCTCTCTTCTCTTCTCTCCCTCCCTCCCTCTCTCTCTCTCTCTTCCTCTCTCTCTTATAAAGCCAACGCTGATTTCACCCATGGAGGAAGATCTAAACAAGCTGCCACTATCTCTCTCTTTATCTCTTTCTTTTTCTCTCTTCTCTCTTTCCCTCTCTCTCTCTCTCTCTCTCTCTCTCTTTCTCTGTTTATCGCTCACTTTCCCTCTCTTTCTCTCTCTATTTATCTCCCTCTCTCTTTTCTCTCTATTTTTCCCTCTTATTCTCTTCTTTAAGGCCGAAGCTGATTCCATCCATGAAGGAAGATCTAAACAGGCCGCCACTCTCTCTCTCTCTCTCTCTCTCTCTCTCTACCTCCTCTCTCTCTCTTTATCTTTTTTTCTCTCTCTCTCTCTCCCTCTCTCTCTTATTATAAAGCCAACGCTTATTTCACCCTGAAGGAAGATCTAAACAGGCCGCCACTATCTCTCTCTATCTCTCTCTCTCTCTACCCCCTCTCTCTCTTTCTCTATCTTTTTCTCTCTTTCTCACTCTTCTCTCTCTATCTCTCTATCTCTCCCTCTCTCTCTTATTATAAAGCCAACGCTGATTTCACCCTGAAGGAAGATCTAAACAAGCTGTCACTAGCGATGGATCCCCCCACAACAGTTTCAGATGATTTAGCTAATAACAAACTGCTTCATGCTGTACAATTTTAAAAATGTCCGCTTGTTTCTACGGACACTCCCAAGCTCTGTAGTTCTTATTCATGTTTTGTTTTTTTGTTTTTTTTCAAAATAAATCCGTCATTCCTTTGATTTATTAATCCATTCACGTTCTTAAAGTCTCTGATTTTCAGCTTCTCATCCATGCATACATTGCAAATTCTACCTCTTCCGTAGTCAATGTCATGTCTTTACACGTTTCCAAGAAGGAAATACAACGGATTATATTGGTAAATGGTAACTTCCTTTGAGCATGATGTGTATAATGTATAACGTGTATAAGGTGTATAATGTGTATAATGTGACTCTTCCACTTCGTTTTTTTTTTTTTTCAATATTTCGATTATTTTATTTTTTATATATTACCGGATCTCCTTGTTTTATATTTTACCTCCTCTTTATTTACTCATTGTTACATAATGATTTGGTTTGGTTTGGTTTGTTTACGGCATATGAACCTCAATGGGTTATTTAATTCAAATTCCAGTCGAATCCATTGCATTCACTTACGCATGGGAAAGGAATGAATCCTTTTCTTCTCCCCCACAAGCTATGGGTAAATAGCAGAGTAGGCCGGGTTCTACAGCCTTGGATGGCAACTGGTCTACCGCAGAAAGAAATGGCAACCTACTGCTGGAAAAAATCTGCCCCATGAGACATGTATCGAAAGATATATGATCGCCTAAGCGTGTATCACGTATGACACATAACTGACTGAATGCCGACAAGATTTTTATTGCTGGTAATATTTTTAAAAAATATATTGTTGGCAATATTTTTCAAAAATATATTGCTAGTAAAATTCTCTTTTCAAAAATGTATTGCTGGTAATAATAAATTACTGGTAATTTTTCTTTCTAAAAATGTATTGTTGGTATTAAACCTATTTTTACACTTTCATAATTTGGGGCATAACTATTTTGCCATAGCTCCGAGCATAACAGGTGCTACCACCCCGGATCAGGGTTGACTTGGGAACACCAGCAATTAAGAAGTGGTTCCACGGTCCTCAAAACATCCTGATCAGAGGCCTTGCTGCTGGACGTAGTTTATCGTCTTTCCCAGGACGCGTTACATAGATAAACAAATAAAAATGAAAAAGTGCATATATAGTTTTGCCAGTATTTCTCTATGTAAATCAAGTCGCTATCAGTGGTAACGGAAAAATAAACACGAGAAAACCATTAAATAAAATATAAATGAAGGTGGTTTTTTTCGTTTTTTTTTTTTTATTTTATTGCCCAGCGTGTACATCTTTTTTTATGAATCTCCCATGGGCATGTTTGCGCACGTCAGCGTGAATTGTGTTTTTTTTTTTTTTTTTTGCTTCTCTAACAAATAAAGTATATTTAAAACGTTCACTGATAACTTGTTACCAAGACAGCTTCGCTTGCAGCAGGACTACTCAAACGAACATTGCGGGCTAGAAAAAAAAAATACTAACAAAAAGAAACAATAATCGAATCCCAAACAATTTTATAAAACCTTACTCTCCTTTTTCTCCTTTTTCTAAGCCTTGCTCTCGACATCCCAGGATACTGATCCACTTCTGTGCACCTGACAATACTGACTAAATCCACACACACAGACACACACACACACACCCCTCCACCACCACCACCGCACGAGAGAATCAACTACCACCATCCCCAACAACAACTCGGCCTCATCATGACTGACAGCATTTTCTTAACCACGTGACTGATTTCCAAACGTTTGTTCTTTCCGGCTGGTGGCCACCGGAATTGTCCTACCGGAAACTCTTCTGTATACATCCGGGTACTACTGTCCGCTACGAAAGAGGCCAGACACAACGGATGTTATCGTGATGGGTGGAAGGTTTGTGTAGAGGGCACTGAAATATTTGCAATCTAGAGTGTTGAGATTAGCTTGTCGAAACCCAA